AAAAAAAAAAAAAAAAAAAAAAAGAGAGAGAAAGTGTCACTTTGGTCCACTTTTCAGAGTGGTTGGTGTTATAATATATAACCTTTTTTTTTCTTTTTTTTTTTTTTAACGCAGTGTAGTTCACAATAATTTAAAATACTCTATAGACATTTAAACGATATACAATAATATAACTTAATTGGATTCCTCAATTGTACTTAACAAATACTATTCTAATATATTTACAGTATCTAGTACCATAAGACTGTGCATTACTGTATTTGGGAGCTTAATTTGCTTCCTGTCAAGAATGTAGTGAAAGTACAGTATATCACTATTATTCAACAGCAATACCCACGAATCAAAGGGACTTTAAATTATATGGAGTGACTCCGGTATTTGGGGGGGGGGCCCTGTTGACTTCTGTGGAGTTGCACTCATTCCCGCCAAGGCTGGAGTTTAGAAACCAACAGCAGCAATGACAAAAAAAACCGAGCTCTTCAGTTTTGGATGGCTCCGTGGGAGACTCATCGAAGGGGTTCGATTTTCAGAGGGTAAGTGCTTGGGGTGGGAAAGGCAGGTCCTCAGGAGCGTTCAAACGAAGGTTCCCCAAGTGATTAGTGACTTTTGATAATACAGGCCCGTAAATTACGGAGGTAATCCTGGCTCATTCACATCTCCAGCACGGGGGGCGGGAGCTCCACCAGCCCCTTGCCCCAGGAGCACCGTTGTGGTGTGGCAGGTGCTCCCGTGTTAGGTGGGGAGGGCTCTTGGCTGTGCAGCCCCTCAATCCAAGTAATAAAATGGAACAAAAGCTAGAAATGCAGATACGCAGACATTAGGAACATTTTAATCCAAGTTTTGAGAAAATCGGGTCGGGACCCTCGCTACAAGCAAACATTTGTGTGATTGGATCTGCTGTGTTAGAAGTGGGCATGTCTGGCTCTTGGGATTAAAAACTCTAGATTTTTTTTTTTTTTACAGTAGTAAAATATCTGAGGATTTCTTTTTTTTTTCCTTTAAATCTCTCATAGTGAAAAGGTGTGTGAATTAAAATTGAGTGCTGGTGGAAGAAGTCAGCTTCTTTCTTAACATTCATGTATTTACCAGGGGGTGTGTTATTGCCAACCTTAGAATAACGACGACACAGACTAACTCAAATTTTAGCTTCCTCATGCTCGCGAAGCCACCGCAGCTCACGGGTTGCAGCAACCTAGAGCTCAGCTACCGTATTCTTATCACCTTCTCAGTTCATACTAGGCATAAGTTATTTAAAACTATTGGTAATATTAACGTTCAACCGTTAAAGGCAAAATGCAACGCTTGGAAGATCCAGCTTAGTGCATTTGATGGCAAAGCAAAACCTTTGATGCTTGTCGAAGCGTGTCTTTGTCTCCTAAAACTCCCTACGAGGAGCTGAGAGCAGGTGCTCCACGCCTCAAGCCTGAGTCTAAAAAAAAAGAGTCATTCTTATTCAGGAGGCAAGCGGGAAAAGTCTTTGTCAAGCATTTGTAACCACAGTTTCGCGTGATCTTTTTTTTTTTTTTTTTTTTTTTTTTTTTTCTCAGTTCTGGTAATTGCTTAAGGCCTACAGTAATTGAACTCTCTAATAGTGGAGTGACAACAGATCAGTAGCATTGAAGAACTTAGGGAGAACCAAATACAAAAGTCATAAAGTCAGAGTTCCAATAAGTTTACATTTAGTACAGAATTAAGACATAGCTACCCGTTAGTGCTTAGAATTTTTTGATACTATTAAAAACATAAATAATTATTTTTAATGTTCATTCAAAGAGTTCCAGTGTCACTGGCAGCTGATGTAATTTTGTGAACGTTATTTTTTTTTTTTTCCGAACTGATAGCGGAGTATTTCAGCCACAGATTTTTGTCTCCCTACCAGTTGTTTTCTCTCTACCTGCTTTCTTAGAAATTTCGTTTTTTGCAGCAAGAGTGCTGTGTTCTAGTCAGTGAAGATTTCATTTCCTTAAAAAAAAAAAAAAAAAAAAAATAGGAGAAAGTGTCTTTTTCTTTTAGATTTCATGGGAGCTGCAATGCAATCAGCTTCTCTGATATGTATAACTTAAAACACGTACTAGGAGAACTCTACAACACCCAGATTGTAGTTAAAAAAAAAAAAAAAAAGAGAAAGTTTCATGTGGTGGTCAACATCACCTTAATCCTGTTGCCCTTGTTTCCAAAGCAGTTACAACAGCCAGCCAGCCAAAATGCACCATCCTTGGAAGTGTAAGTAGTGGGGAGGGGAAGTGGTTGTGGTGGTGTTGGTTGGTTGCTTCTTTTTTTTTTTTTTTTTTTTTTTTTTTCCCCCGAAGAAGATTAGATGTGCAAAATGATGCTGTCGTCGTTTGTTGTACTCCACTTTCTTCACTCGTGGCGATTTGTTCTGTGCGTTTGCACACGATGCCGTTATTTGCAGGTGAACACCTCTGTCCGCTCGCTACACGTGTTGCACTTCACAAAGCAGCACCAGTGGAATTTGCAATTACACTGCCACACCTTGGTGTACTGGTGTGTGTTGTACCCTCTTCCACAGCACATCATGTCGCACCCATCCGCGTTGGGAGAGGTCCGGTTGCAGAGGCGTCCCTGGGTACCGACGCTCCCCGTGGAAGCATCTTCCTCACAGTAGTTGGGTGACTTTTCGATATACACTAAATCCGTCTCCATGGGTTTCTGGTAACTCTTAATCTGCTTGATCTTCAGGAAGGTCGGCTGTCTTAGTCTACTGGCTCGTACCACCTCCACTTGCACCGCAGCATTGTATTTCTCTTTCAAAATATATCCAATCTCTCTGAACTTAGGGAGAGTGGTCCAGCAGGTCTTAGTTGTACAGGAACCTGAAACGCCGTGACACTTGCACTCCAATTTCATTCTCTCTTCGAGAACCTATGTGTACAGACATTTGCACATTGTTACTTCAGGAAAACAGTTTTGCAAGCTTGCCTAAACCTCGGCCTGCTTAGTTCATATGAATGGCCATTACTGCATTACTGCTGCTGGGTGACGTTTTTCAAATGAACGCTTAGCAATCTTCTCACCGCCCAGCAGAATGCTCGTAACACTTTTTGTTTTACGTGGCACCTGGTCGGAAACGCAGTGTTTCGTCATTTCATTAGAAAACTTTTGCATGTTATTGCCAGCCTTAGAATGACGACACAGACTAACTCAAGTTTTAGCTTTCTCATGCTCGCGAAGCCACCACAGCTCACAGGCTGCAGCAACCTAGAGCTCAGCTACCGTATTTTTATCACCTTCTCAGCTCATACTAGGCGTAAGTTACTTAAAGCTATTGGTAATATTAACGTTCAACCGTATTGGAAGATAATTACTTAAATTTCAGAAGGCATCTCTTAGAGCCAAAGTAATTCATGGGACTCCGCTGACTTAAAAAAACTTTTGTCCAACCATTTTCATTTTGAAATTAGGAAAAAATACTGTTCTTTTAAAACATTGTAAAATGCAGAATATTTAATCTTAATTGCTTTAAGAATGTTTTGTTGTTTGGTTTTTTTTTTTTTTTAATTTTTGACCGGCTTTAATATCACGGAACAATATAGATTGTGTGTCTGAATAGGCATTCATGTTCACTGCATAAATAAAAATTTTGCCTGTACCCAGCAGTGGGAATACCAGCACACCGAGCAACCATTCAACCCACAGAGCATACCATCCCCTTTCAAAGCAGCACTCCTTGCAGTTGCTCAAGCGAATGTTCACCCACAAATACATTTTTTGCACCAGGGCAACAATTGCACAACATTAGGGGAAATAAAATCCACTGAAGGGTCCTGCTCAGCTGCGAGTCAAACTGAACTGGGAGCGTTTATTATTGCTATTGCTAGAGGAGGTTAATCTAGGGGGGGTTAATCCAGCATCGAATGGTCCCTAGAAGGTACCCAAACCGGTGGGTGCTCGAGCTCCCGCTCCGCTCCCGCTCTCCCACCTCCTGGCTGGCACATCCCTCCCTCCCTGGGCAGGGGTCTGTGCCCGGGGGGAGGCGAGCAGATGCCCTCAGCTCCGTGTGCTCAGCAGAGGGGAAACCAGCCTCGCGGAAGCGCCTCTCTGTTTTTCTGCCCTCACGCTACCACTTAAGCCTGACCACAATTACACCCACAGTCATCATTAGCTTATGAAAATCAGGGCCTAAGAACAAAGCAAACTGATCTTTCCCCTTCGCGATGGGATGCTAACAAAGAAATATGAGCTACCGAGCTTGTCTTAAAGCATTACTGATGCTGCAGACCATCTCCTGTAGTGGTTTCGTTGCAGATCCCAGAACATGACTGAAATGGGCAAAGGATAAAAGGGCCGAAATCTGAGTACAATGGCATAATGAAGTAGAAGGGAAGTAAAAAATGCTTACTGCTTAAGAAACCGGCCTTAAAATAAAAGCTGCACAGATCTGGTTATCCCTGCAAATAGAGGGCACCCTCCGGAGTTGTTCGAGTTTCACTTAAATTGTATGTTTTGGGTTTTTTTCCCAAATTTCTGGGGTTTCAATATTAAAGAGAATATTTGGTTTTGATTCTCCCTTGCCAACATGCAGTAGCAAGTACAAGATAGCTGAGCATCCTATTCAAAAATACCTTAGAACTTCTGAAACCGCAGGCTTTTCCAAGGTCAAGGTCAAGTTAGCCTGAGGCAGAGAAGCTGATTTCCAGGAAGAGTTACTGGGTTAGGGAAGAAGTTTCTACAGCTACTATAAAAAAGAAGATCATGAAGGCTGCAATGAGCTGCTGCTTTTTTTTTTTTTTTTTTTGGTGGATGATGGAAAGGCCACTGACAAGCTGTATCACCTTCCTGTCTTCCTTACAGAAAAAAAAAAAGCGCAAAAACTTGCCACCCTCTGCTGCAGCAGCAGTGTTTCAGTGCCAGCAGGTAGAGGAATGAAGGAATTATGGAATTAGGGAATACTCCAGGGTGTTTCGGGGGTCTCCTCTGTGCAGATAGATGTGATTTTTTTCAAAGACACACCCCCCCCCCCCA